TAGTGCACGTTCTGATCAAAACAAAACGTAAACAAAAACTGGAATTTGCGCTATATGTCTGTTCAACCGTAAATCACAGCTGTCACATTAAGTGCACTCACACTTATTATATATCATTTTGTTCAGGAGAAACAGGGCTTTCATTTATCATTAACTATTCATATATGGAACATAATTTATTATGAATAAAATTGAACCCCTTCAGGACGGAGTCAATAGTACACGTTCTGATCAAAACAAAACGTAAAACAAAAACTGGAATTTGCGCTATATGTCTGTTCAACCGTAATTCACCTCTTTCATATTAAATGTACCCACACTTATTATATATAATTTTGTTCAGGAGAAACAGGGCTTTCATTTCATATCAAACATTTATATATGAAACATAATTTATTATGAATAAAATAAAAAAAACTGTGAGACATTTAAAAAAAATTTAAAATTTGTAGTTCCGCCTCACATTTTAGCTATAAATGTCATAATACTGTTAGGTTTTACTGCAAAAAATGCACATATTTGTAATCAGCGATGTCTCACGAGCACAACAGTACCCCCCATTAACAGGTTTTATGGTGTTTTGGAAAGTTACAGGGTCAAATATAGAACGTTCCATTTTCACATTGAAATTTGCCAGATTAGTAATGCTACCTTTGAGATGGTGTGGTAGCCCAGGAATGAGAATTACCCCCATGATGGCATACCATATGCAAAAGAAGAAATGCAAAAAAATGAAATGCAAGCCATATGTGACTCTCTAACTTTCCAAAACACCATAAAACCTGTACATGGGGGGGTAATGTTATTCTCGGGAGACTTTACTGAACACAAATATTAGTGTTTTAAAACAGTAAAACATGTTACAACAATAAAATAGTCCATAAAAGTGCCGTTTGTTTGTAAAAAATGCAAAAAACTTCACTTTTACTTAAAATATCATTGTTGTAATACAATTTACCAGTTTTAAACACTAATATTTGAGTTCAGCGAAGTCTCCCGAGTAAAACAGTACCCCCTATGTACAGGTTTTATGGTGTCTTGGAAAGTTACAGGGTCAAATATAGTGCTTGCAAATTAAATTCTCTGCACTTTCTCCCTGTGTTGTCAGGCATGTCAATCAAATTTTAATTAATCAAATTACATAATTATGTTAAAAAATTACTTAAATATACATGTAGCATTTTAATATATATGCATTTATAGGTATTTAAATTCTATGTGTATACTAATGTAATCTTTTATGTAATTATATGTATTTATCTATATATATTTGTGGTTATTTGTATTTTATATATAGATAGAAATATATAGAATGTCATTCTAAGTGTATTTTGTTACCAATATATATATATATATATATATATATATATATATATATATATATATATATATATATATATATTAATAACAAAATACAGTTAGAATGAAATACATATGAATATATAATTTATATTAAATTTTTTTATTTTATTTATTATTGTAATTATACGTATATATATACCGTGTTTCTCCGAAAATAAGACCGGGTCTTATATTAATTTTAGTCACAAAAAACACACTAGGGCTTATTTTCAGGGTAGGGCTTATTTATTTACCTTACCAGTATGTACAGCTCTTTCTCATTTAATAAATCCACCCCCTCTAATTAATCCACCCCCTTTAATTAATCCATCCCCTTTAATTAATCCACCCCCCTCTAATTAATCCACCCCCCTTTAATTAATCCAGCCCACCCTTTAATTAATCCACCCCCCTCTAATTAATCCAGCCCACCCTTTAATTAATTCACCACCCCTTTAATTAATTTACCCCCCTCTAATTAATCCAGCCCACCCTTTAATTAATTCACCACCCCTTTAATTAATTCACCCCCCTCTAATTAATCCAGCCCACCCTTTAATTAATTCACCACCCCTTTAATTAATTCACCCCCTCTAATTAATCCAGCCCCCTCTAATTAATTCACCTCCCCTTAATTAATTCACCCCCCCTTTAATTAATTCACCCCCCTCTAATTAACCAGCCCACCCTTTAATTAATTCACCCCCCCTTTAATTCACCCCCCCTTTAATTCACCCCCCCCACCCCCTTTAATTAATTCAATTAATCCCAGACATAAAATATACTCACATTTCAAGGATTCCACTGGGAGCCTCACCGCCCGGAAATGGATCCTTCCGCTGAAGATCCGTGAAGGCAGACTGATGGCGCTGCAAAATGTCGTCATCACGTTGCGCGACGCTCCTCCTACAGCAGAAGAAGGAAGTCTCGCCGCAAAGGTACAATGCCTAGGTCTTATTTTCGGGGTAGGGCTTATATTGCAGCCCACCCCGAAAATCCGACTAGGGCTTATTTTCGGGGTAGGGTTTATTTTAGGGGAAACACGGTATGTACCTGTAGTGGAGCTCCTATACCCAGGCTGGGTATCTCCACTGGAATATCACTTAAGCTGGAAGAAAGCGCTGTGTAGTGTTAAAGCCCTTATTCCCCCACACATCAGACGACACTTGATGTTGGGACAATGACAAAGTTTAATGGGACATGGGGGTCTTTTATACACAGACCTCTAGCACATACATACCGAGACACAGACACACACACATACAGAGACACACACACAGACACATAAGAGACACAGACACACAGAGACACACACACATGCATAGACACACACATACATACAGAGACACAGACACACACACATACAGAGACACACACACACAGACACACACACATACACACATACAGAGACACAGACACACATACATAGAGAGACATACACATACATACAGACACACACACACATACATACATACAGAGTCATCTATGCACCCGGAGGTCCTTCTAATGGCTGTCTTGTAGAAAACCACTGAAGTGAAGTTAACCCTAGCAGGTAAGTATTGCAGTTTCTCAGGAACTGCAATAATTACCACTCTCGGGTTAATTGACATGGGACAATGCATCCAGACCACTTCAATGAGCTGAAGTTGTCTGGGTGCCTACAGTGTTTCTTTAAAGTTGCTCAGGCAAGAAATGTTGATGGTAAGGTATACACTTTTTTTGTTCTTTTGATAATTTTTCTAAGGCATTTTTTGTTGTTTATTTTTGCATACCGGTAATTTCATTTTGAATATTTTTTAAAGTCAAAGACTTGTGTTTCTATTTTTTATTTTGACATTCTTTAGTTTTACAAAGGGTTACAACACGTGTCAACTAGAAATTCCGAGTCTGAATTAGTAAGATTTAGCAGTATGAAAAAATTTAAAATAAACAAAAGTGCAGATTTATTTTAAGCAGACGTGCCTTTGTATGTAATCAATGTTTCAGTCCAACTACCTTGACTTATTAAGGAAAGCTTGGTAATGGGACTGAAATGGTGAATGTACATAGGGCACAACTGTAAAAAAATGACGTTATCTTGTTTATTTTGAAGTCCTGTGGGTGCGCTCTTCACTTTAAATATGTTATTGTAATGGAGTCTGCATCTAGCAACAAGACTGGGACAATATCTGCTCATTACAAATGGTACATATTAATGACATTTATCTGTGTATTATGCATATATAAATGCACATTAATATATGTGTAAATATAATAGGCATACATATATATATATATATATATATAAATAAAACTAATATACATGTCATATACCAGTGATGGATCCAGAGCCTGATCCCGGGAGGGGCACTTGTAGATTATTTAAAGAAATAATCCATGCACAATAACCACTACTGCTCTCTGTAGTGGTTATGGTGCCAGGAGTGCCGGGACCCCCTCCCAGAGTAAGTAGTCAAACCGTTTAAAAACAGTTTGACAACTTATCTGGGGTCTGCTGGGATATGGGGCTGTAGTAGGGTATAGGAGCAGTGGTGCAATGTGTGAGGGGTGCAGTGTGTGTGAAAGGTTCAGTGTATGTGTGTAAGGGGGGTGTAGTGTGTGAATGTGTAGGGTGTGTGGGGCAATGTGTGTATGTGGCAATGTGTGTATGGGGGGCAGTGTGTGAATATGTATGGTGTGTGTGGGGGCAGTGTGTGTATGGTGGGCACTGTGTGCCGCACGGTGCCTGTGGAACGGGGAGGGAATTGCCCTGTTGCCTTGTGCGTCTCTCTCCTTTCCCCCTCTGCCTCTTTCTCCCCCTCCCCTTGTGCGTCTCTCTCCTTCCCCCTTTTTCTCCCCCTCCCCTTGTGCGTCTCTCTCCTTTCCCCCTCTGCCTCTTTCTCCCCCTCCCCTTGTGCTTCTCTCTCCTTCCCCCTCTTTCTCCCCCTCCCCTTGTGCGACTCTCTCCTTTCCCCCTCTGTCTCTTTCTCCCACAACCTTTGTGCGTCTCTCTCCTTTACCCCTCTGTCTCTTTCTCCCCATCCCCTTGTGTGTCTCCTCTCCTTTTCCCCTCTGTCTCTTTCTCCCCTCCCCTTGTGTGTCTCTATCAAACTTTAATGCTCTCCCCTCTCCTTGTGTGTCTCTATCCTTTCCCCGTCTCTTTCTCCCCTCCTTGTGTGTGTCTCTCAGCTTTCCCCTGTCTCTTTCTCCCTCCCTTGTGTGTCTCTATCCTCTCCTGTCTTTTCTCCACTCCTTGTGCGTCTCTCTCCTTTCCCCCCTCTGCTCTTTCTCCCCTCCTTACAATGAGTCTCTCTCCTTCCCCTCTTTCTCCCCCTCTCCTTGTGCGACTCTCTCCTTTCCCCCTCTGTCTCTTTCTCCCCCTCCCCTTGTGTGTCTCTATCCTTTCCCCCTGTCTCTTTCTCCCCCTCCCCTTGTGTGTCTCTATCCTTCCCCGTCTCTTTCTCCCACCCTTTCCCTGTCTCTCCCCCACATCTCTCTCCCCTTTGTCTCTTTCCCCCTCTATTTTATATCCCCCCTCCCCTTGTGTCTCTTTATTCCCCATCTTCCCCCTCCCATTTACCTGAGAGGAGTCAGGGGGCCGGCTGCATTCCACTCTGGAACTGCCGGGCCGGGTGGCAGCCTCACCGGTCCGGCGGCCCTCCTCCGGTCACTGATGGCTGAGGAGTGAAGGAGGAGGAGGGAGGAGCATGTTTCTGTACCATGCTCCCTCGCGGTTCCCAACATGCTCCTCCCTCCTCCTCCTTCACTCCTCAGCCATCAGTGACCGGAGGAGGGCCGCCGGACCGGTGAGGCTGCCACCTGGCCCGGCGGTTTCAGAGTGGCATGCAGCCGCCAGCCCACCGGCCCCCTCAGAGTGTGTGCCACCGGACCGGCCACCCGGTGGCACACACATGTGCAGCGCAGCCCCCAGATGCCGCGGCCCACCGGGAAATTTCCCGGTATGCCGGTGGGCCAGTCCGGCCCTGTTTGTATGTAATGTTTGTGTTTGCAGGGGTGTATTTGCATGTTGTGTTGGTATTTGACTGCTGGAATGTTTGTTCATGCACTGCCACCTATATTCTTACACAGATATACATACATCATAACAAACAGAAACATACATGGAAACATACTGACACACATGTAACGGCCACCCAGGTAGTTAGAGGGGTGTATGCCGTTGGAGATATCCTTTTCCCCGGCGAAAGGCTGTGCTGTAGTATATTACCGATATCCCATCAGCTGGAGCAGGGTAGAGAGAGTAGCAGAGCTAGTGATTTAGCTGGATGCAGGTTCCCTTCAATAACGAGACGAGGCTACGTATTGGGGGTTATGCAGAACTGATTTAATGGACACACAGGCATTTCTTTTATACAACTTTTCCAACAAGGTTACCACCCATGTGGACCTTGTTGGGCACTGAAAACACAAACTTATCAACCAATCGTTTACAGTTACACAGCTAAACACTCTCATTCATTACAGTAAATTCCTCCCCTCTGCTTGGGAGATAATTGAGATGATTGTTGTATCAGCTCAATTATCTCCAAGCAAAAAATATACTTTTTACTCAATTTTTATAACATCAACTTATGCATTAATTTCCAATAAAAGTTAAATTTTCAGAACCAGCATAATTAGGGAACAAACATATTTAAAAATCATAACAATCGGTTCAGGGGTTCAGGAGATAGCTGGAAGTCCCATCTCTCCTCTTTTCGTACAGTTAAAAAACCGAACAGTTATTCTTTTTATTGTTTGTGCCTTTGCTGGTCGTGTGCCGCCTCGTTCGTGCAATAATTTTACCGAACGCCGCCTCGTTCGTATAAATCTGTGCGAAGCTAAGTGGTCCTGGAAGTCTCAGCGGAGTTCGGGAGTTTGAGTGTCCGAAAATAGTTCCAGACACTCGACGACCAAACCCCGCTGGACGCGTTTGACAAAACAAGATGGCCGCCGCCACGTGTTCATACATATGAATCGACGCCACCCAGTGAATCACTTAGAACGTTTGCAGTTTGCGGTCTGGCACAGAGTTAAGGCGTTAATTGGCGGCACACGCCTGGGCTGGATGGTCTCTGGTTTGGTAGTTTGTTTGGTTATATGAATGGGTTAGCAGTGTCATTCGTTTTTCCATTTGTATGTTAAATATAACAATGGTAACAAATCCAGGGGTTATAATGTTCCAAGTCTGTTGGCCA